CACGCCGCGTGGCGAGCGTCGGTCACCCGCGAAGCTCTAGGTCTTCTGTACACGTTGCTGTGGTTGTAGCCTTTGGGCACGTCACGGGCCTGCTAGCGTGGTGGCGCAGCGCTGATGTCGCGCAAAGTTGTTCCTGCTTGGGAGCAGGCCGCCGCGTCAAAACGCGGCCTTTGAGCTGCTAAGGAAAAACGTGACTCCAGGCAGAGGTGCTAGGCACCAGCGTCTGCGAACGTCCGGGCAGGAGTTCACCGTGCCGCCCCGCGAGGGTCTCGCAGCGTGACGCTGAGGGACGGTCTTGTTATACGGGACTGTGAGGCCCGAATATAAATTAATTATGCTGCAGCGGGAGGACGTCACAACGCTAAGCGCGTGCCGTAACGTGTCTCGGAGCAGTGCTGTAGTGTTGTGCAACAAAAATAGGGCACAATACCAGCCACGATCATTGCTAGCGGAGGCTGCGCTGCAAGCAGCAGTTACAAATGGCCGTTATGCTGCGCTACGTTATACTGTAAAACAGAGGCACATACTGCTACTGATTTCAGGAGAAACAGGCTGCCGTTCTTTGTTAGAGCAGTAGACGGTTCACATTCACTAGCAAACTATTTTTTAAAATAACATTCTTTTACAAATTCCACTTCCAAAGTAGCTGACTGTTAACTAGTTCTCTTGGGGGTAGGGATTGAATCCCTTGGGTTAGATTAACTTCTTGGGGCTCCTAAGGCAGTTTTCCCATACGATGGCAGTAGAGCGCTGCAGCTGGTTTTAAAGGATTTTTTTCCCCCAGTAGGCTTTTTTTCCAAGACTTTTTTTTTTCCCCCCAGGAACTTTGTTGAAGGAAAAACTTTTCCTAGCGAAAATGAAATAGAAACAAAATAGTAGTCAGACATTACAATATAGCATCATCTGATAACTGCAGATTAGATTGATGGGAATGAGAATGCTGTTAGGATGCATGTAACCATGCTTGCAGTGTTTGTGCTGCAAAGGTGAACTAGACAAGTGTGCAAAAATAACGTGCCCCCCATGGCGTTTCAGCATAGTCTCACTTTGCAGTCGAGCCTGCTCTGACAACTTACACTATTAAAAGCAAATATTATATTTCACGGATTTAATTATTCCTAAAAGTTGTACGTTAAGGACTTTGAGATAT